TTTTTTTTATTAAATGTCCTTCACGATTTCCCTTCCTTGTGTTGCCAGTATAGCATATTTTGTACGTTACTTTATATCAAATCCAAATGTCTTTCTTCGTGATGCTTTAAATAAATCAATACGTCGTAAGGTATCATACTACACGTTGAAAATGTCATTTAACGGTGCCTGTCACAGTTTTTAGATAAGGAAATGCACACGTCGATCAAATGAGTTTAATACGTTGTATTGATCTATTAAAGGCCCTTTATGAATCACGCACCATGTTCAGATTAGGACAGCTTAAACTTTTATTCAAAACGAACGTAGTTTTACTATCATGTCTCCACGGCTTTTCTGTATCCAGTGTACACTAAATCTCATCCCTGTAATTAATCATGGTCCTATTTTACATGGAAGTGGCTTACACAGGTCCCTTTGTATCAGCGTTCAGCACACTGCACTTGTATAAGGATGGAAAGTTTACAAATCAAACGTCGTCGCTACTCATATACTTGTTTTAAATATTTTTCTTTGTGTAGGATGCGTTAGTTTCCCCTCTCAAATAATAAGTGGGTAAAATACTGACTATTATAACTTTTTAGCACCTCCAGAAAACTGACGGGGCTTACCGTTCTATATCACCCCAGGCGTTAACATAGATAACAATGTTATACGTCTCATCAAAGAAAATTAATTAAACGATTTAACTCAAATTTAATTTGCTTTGAAGTGATACATAAAGTAACTATTCAAGCTGGATTTGAGGAAATTTTATTAGTTTTCATATTCGTTTCTTTCCAGATTTATGCAGAGTGAACGCAAATCGTGAGTAGACTGAATTCATTATTCTTACATATTATTGTTATATGAAAAACTATTTTTTTATTTGCATAAACATCTTAAGGATGCTCGTCACTTCTGTATATGTAATCTGTCACCAACAGTGTATCTACTGTCCTAATAAACACATACACTGACCCATGAGGGCAGTACAAAGGCAGAGCATTAGAAAGTTTGACTAAGGTTTATCATAGAGTTACCTCTAGAAAATATGAAATAAGGAAGCCGTATGACCATATCGCACATGAAAAAAATGAAATCTTAATACGAAGAAAGTACTTAGTTGATGATTGGTAGAGCCTGTTTTTTATCATGCTCTCTCGTGTACCTTGTGTGCCGGAAGTGTCAGCGTGCCCATTCGTGTACCTTGTGTGCCGGAAGTGTAAGCGTGCTCTCTCGTGTACCTTGGTGTACCGGAAGTGCAAGCGTGTTCTCTCTCGTATACCTTGGTGTGCCGGAATTGTAAGCATGATCTCTCTCGTGTACCTTGGGTGCCGGAAGCGTAAGTGTGCTCTCTCTCGTGTACCTTGGTGTGCCGGAAGTGCAAGCGTGTTCTCTCTCGTATACCTTGGTGTGCCGGAATTGTAAGCATGATCTCTCTCGTGTATCTAGTGTGCCGGAAGTGTAAGTGTGCTCTCTCTCGTGTACCTTGGTGTGCCGGAAGTGTAAGCATGCTCTCTCTCGTGTACCTTGGTGAACTGGAAGTGTAAGCGTCTTCTGCTCTATCGACGACACCTTCCATATAAACCGAAGTCAAATCTAAGTTATGTAACCTCTTCAAACTGAGAACCTTGGGAGGTAGCGAAAAACACAGGGCACACCATTGAGCATCAAAAACATCGACCTTCACATCACATACGGAACTAGATTATTTCCCACAAAGATCATGATCATGACCATTAAGCTTGTCTGGAAATATTGTCCTAAACATAGTCTAGAAACACGACGAACGGAAGCACCTAATCGACACGTTTAAATGCAGAAATCCAACAAAATAACATTTTACTACTTCATATGGCCGTTCATCCTTTTAGGACTCTTCAATAGTTCCAAAAGATCGAAAGAATGAAAATTCCATGTTTAAAGTGTTCCGAAATATGCAGAAACAGACAAAAAGGAAAGGGACCTATTACACCTTTTACTACGTTACAGTTTTACAACAGTTGGCTGCAATAGTTTGATTGTTACTCAAACCAGTATTTCATGTAAACTCTGCCAGAATAAATGTGGGTAATCTCAGGGACTCAGTCCACTAACAGAGTCAAACACCTTTTAACGTAAAATAATTACTTAAAGTGCGCGTTTTTTTCCGGCAGCAGTTGACATCCATTACAAAGTATCGAAATAGTCAGCACATACTATTAATATAATTGACAAAAACTAAATGTTTACTCTTAACGTTATGGAAGTAATTCCCATAGTGATTCGTAGTTTCCCCAATTTTGACAAAATCTAATTTTCGTTAATATTCTTTTTTTCCCCCAAAATATTTTATTCCTCCCAGTCATTTCATTTTATAAATATTCTTTAATATTCTTGATTGAAAAACGTCCAGTGAAGAATACTACTGAAGTATCAAAAAACCTGTAATTCGAACTCAAAATTGATAAAACTAAAGCAAGTCGAATGCAAATAGGTGTTCCGGAATGATAAGCGTCACCATAGATCACGCTATTTCCTCGGATAGTGCCCCCCCCCCCCCCCCCCCCCCCCACCCT